CTTTCACATTTATTTAAACACAATGTCCGACAGGACTATAAGAAGTGCATCAATAATAATTTCCTTTCCATGTTATATATATCAATATTGTTGGTAAGTAAATGGTTAACTAATGAACGTAGACGAGAAGTGATTGACTGATAAGTATAATTATTAAGAGCTCGGGGTATGATCCATCTCTCTGAGAGGCGTGTGTTGATGCGATGAAACTGTTCGGATAGGTTCGCCCTTTCACATAAAAACAAATTATTGTCAGAAGTTGAAAAGCGGAAACCATGCAGCAGCTAGTCTATATTCGTACATATTTTCAATGGTAATTACTTTATATTGGGCAAATAGGGGTTTTGTATGAGACATAAAGTGTTCATTGGCAAAGTAACAGAGTATATTTTTTAAGTAACGCGAGGTTTTTAATGTTTATTTGAGTAGTCTTCCCCATATAAGAGCGCTGGAATTGAAGTAGGACTGAATAGTGAATAGTAAATTTATAGTTTAACATTAACTGGAAAAACAGAGAGGCAGCGGGACATGGTTCTAACCACTTCGGACAGCTTCCTTATGAGATAGCCGATCGACATGGTCATTCCACAAAAGGTGCTCAGAAAAAATTATTCCGAGCGTTTTATGATTTTTACTAATTCAATCGGTGTAGAACCAATTGTAATATTGTTGTCAATAGTTGCTGCCTTGTTTTTAGATCGAAAAACAATAGCCTTTGTTTTCTGGATGTTGATATTAAGGTCATTGTTGTTGGATTATGTAAAAAAACTGGCTAAGGACATTATTTGCGTTGGCAATTAATTTTTCAACATTCGTTTCAGCAAGAAATAGGCTTGTATTGTCGGCATATATTATATATTTTATTTGTTTACTGATGTTGACGATGTCATTAATATATACTTATATTAAATAACATAGGCCCAACAATACTACCCTGGGGGACACCACATCGTACCTTAAGAAAAGGCGATGTATGACAATCGACAACACATTGCGCACGTTGCTCAAGATAAGAGCGCAAAAAGAATAGGGGTACGCCACGGAAACCGTAGCAGTTTAACTTATCTAATATAATTTTGTGGTTGATGAAATCAAATGCCTTACTAAAATCTATAAATATGCCAAGGTTAAGTAATCGATTTTTTATGTTTTTCAGTATAATTTCTTTTTGTTGAAGTAAGGCTGATTCTATAGGCTTCCTTTACGGAAACCAAATTGACAATCCGTTAACACAAAATGCTCGTTAAGGAAAGAGTTTGGGCGTTTTAACATAATCGTTTCAAGCCCTTTGTGAAATATTGGAAGTACGGAGATAGGTCTGTATTTTGTTAGGAGATTTCTGTCTCCTCCTTTAAATATAACAGAGACTTTAGCTAGTTCAATTTTACGGAGAAATGTTCCTGATGACAAGGCGAGGTGAAAAATGTGCACCAAGCAAGGTGTGATGTTATTAAAAGCAAATTTCACAGGCCTAACTTGTAAGTCATCTGTATCGCAGCTTCTACTATTGCTGAGTCCCGCGACCGCGTTATATACTTCGTGTTCACCAGTCGGCATTAGAAACTTAGAAACTGTCTGTTCAATAAAGTTTGAAGCATTGACATTATGTGGTGGTGGATTTAAATTTACAAAAGCTGTGTTAAAGTGTTCTGCTAACAACGTTCCCGATATATGTTTGCCATTGATTGAAAGTTCGCCTATATCATTACGCTGTCCACTGCGGCGTAAATAAAACTTCATTTATAGATTTCCAAACTATTTCTGGACGTTTTCTAGAATTTCTATTAAAGAGATGCGTATAATACTCTTTCATAGCCTTTCGTAACTCAGATGTCAGGCGGTTCCGAAATTGCTTGAAGATGACCAGCTTATCGGGATTTCTCGTTGATAAAAAGGACTTGTAGAACCGATCCCTCTTTTTTAGCTTTCTGAGGTGCAGAGGTGTGATCCAGGGCTTTCGAATATTTTTAGCAACTGTTTGTGTCTCCCAGAGAAAATTCGAGCTACAAATGTTGCTGAAGACGTCAATAAATGTGTTGTACGCCTGATCTACGCATGTTTTAGAATAAACTGGTCCCAGTCAGTGCGGAAGATCTCTGTCCTAAACTTTTCCAAATTGCGCTCGGATATGCTCTGAAGGAGTTATGTAACTCTATTTGAGCTTTTTACGGAAGTGCTATGGGCACAGGATATGAATATGAGAACGCGGTCACTAGCGATTGTACTAGCGTCATGAACATCTTCACAAACATTTGTAATAAAAAGGTCAAGGGTGCTTGAGGATACATTATTTATTCTAGTTGGAGACTGGATAACATTCATGAAACCATTTGAGCTTATAATGTTATACAATTGTGACGAAAGAGTCGAGTATTGCAAAGTATTTACATTGAAATCTCCTCCTAGGAAAAGAGATAACTTATTTCCAGATATAAAGTCGAGATATCTGTCCAAAAACATACCAAACCTATCGAAACACGCTAACGGCGGCCTACATATTACCGAGAAAATTAGATTGTTACTTCTCACCGTTAATACTTCAAAGTCTTCAGTCGGTTCAGTGCACGTTTCCAAAAGTTCACACGGGATGTCTTGCCGAACGTAAATAGAAACACCTACCCCGCGTTTCTCATATCGATATCAATAAAAATTGTTCTAACCTTTTGAAACATACATAACATCGTCATCATGACACCATGTTTCAGTGAAGAAAAAAAAAACGTCGAACTGGGATGGAACATGAGAAATTAAGGTATCTAATGCATCCATTTTATTTTTGAGAGAGCGCACATTGAGATGAAAGGCTGCTAGACTTCTCATAGTTTCTAACATTTTATTACATCTGATGGCAAAATAAAGTCGTGATACTGCCTAGCCATGTAGTGTGATAGTAGCTTACATCAGTTCCTAGCAAAGTTTGGCAAGGTCATCTTCATTCACAAATTGAATGCTCGGTGAACTGTCAGTATTTAACGAAGATCTTTCTATTTGTAACCCACACAAATTTCCAGTGAAATTCGTGCTTTTTGCCGATAGCTTCCCCAAGCAAACGTTCCACCGCTGGGCATACATGCTCATTTACAAAGACTGGTACAGCCGGTGAAAGCCAAGGTCAAAGGATGTGATACGTCTTTTTTTTTTTTTGCCTTCATAAGTACAACATCGCGTTTACGGCGGGATACAAACTCATTGACGATGTCACTTTCCCCGCAATACGCGTTGGCACACGATGACACACTTCAACATCGGCGGGCACTATCGGCCAACCAATATGGCCACCAATGTGGGCTAAAACAGCTTCAAGGTCTTCATTCTCACGTTTTGCCAGTTATTTAACTTCTAACTTTGCATTTCGCGTATATTGCTCACAGTGTAGTAGCCTAGCCTGGCACTGCTTCATGTCATTTTGCATAGCTTCGTTTGTTTGACGAAGGCTGTCGTTTTGGATTTTTAAGTTCATGTTTTCCCTTGGAACATCATCTAGCTTCTGTTTTATTTGTTCGAAGTATCATTCATGAAGTCATTGCCAGACTTAACCTCGCGCAGGTCACCCCTGACGTCCCTGTCCAATGAGTCTTTCAGCGTTGGGACGGAATAAACACTCGATCTCCCTCTTGAAGTTGGCGTACACGACTCTTCTTGTCGAAGTGTCCCTTTTGCGTCTTCTGGGCTTTTCTTGATTCTCCCTGGGCAACTTTGCACATGTCCTCCAATCTCTTCTGAAGATCGACCATGTACCCGTAGGTTGATTTTGTCTCAGGGTCGATGTTCTCACGGGCCTGTTGACGCCCGTTCGGAAGCTTCCTCGGCTACCAGGACCGCTGCTGTCGTGCTACGTCTTACCAGAATCCGGCCTGGCACTGCCTCAAGCGAACCTGGGCACTCGCTCTTGGCGCGTTGACTTCTTCTCGATCTTGAAATCCACATCATCACACTGGGGTATGAAAGAGAAACTTAAACGGTAGAAGGGACAGAAAACGGGGAAAAAGAGAACGTCTCAAACTGCTCAAATATTTATTCCGTCCCATCTCCCTGTATACTAGCAGCTACAAGGTCACCAATCACACAACTTGCCTTTGCTAGGATATAATTACACCAGGACACACAAAATATGAACCAGAACAGGATCACCCCATTGTCTTGTTCTTGTTGTTCCTTGGAGTGTCTTTGTGTCTTGTGTCCTAGCAAAAGATAGTTATATACTACGTGACCTTGTGGCCGTGAATGTATAAGGAGGTGGGACTGAATAAATCTTTTAGCACTGTTTGAGACGTTCTCTTCCCTGTTTTCTGTCCCATCTACATTTAAGTTTCTTTTTCATACATCAGTCTTGGGTTAAGTTGCAACATGGCAAAAATAAAGTAAGTTTTACTTTGGTAAAACCATCAGTTCAATTGGGTTAAAGTATGCATTCCTGAGAAAATGTTAAATAATTTTTGAACTATAGATTTGTTAGCTTACTAGATTAAATAAAACATAACGTGTCAGACTCATGGCATGTTTAATCGCTGCTATACTTGAGTTTATGAATGCTAACTTTTTTAATCGGGAAAGCATCAAAGTTATTGTGTTATTATGTAAACAACACAGCTGTGTTCGTAAAGGAGAAAGGTTTATTTACACTTTTAGTTTAAAAGACACATGGAATGTCCTTCTGAGCAAAGCGCCTAATAGTTTTAATAATATTTCTTTTTTTTTTGTCTTCTGAAGTAAGATGAGGGTTGTACGACATTCAGCTCTTAGCGGTTTCTTAAGAATAACGAAAAAATTATGTTATGCCTTTCCTACGCATGGCAATATTCAGAAAGCTGAAACTTCACCATGCAGTTCAACTGAGAGCCACTGAAAACTAACCACATTGTGGCGGCGTTAAAGAAATTTTGTACATCACCTTTTCTGAGCACAAACACTTGAATCAAATGTACCGTCTAGTATAGGATACAAGCGTCAGAATAAATGTCGCAGTCTGAGTAGCAATTGTAGTAACGCATTTGTTTCAGGCGTCATCAAGCGTGGAGGCCTCTCGTCCAACGTCATCCCCGATGAGACCGAGATGGAGTACCGAGTAAGGGCTCCTACGACCCGAGAGCTCGTCACTCTCACGGAGAAAGTGAAAGGCTGCTTCCTTGCCGCTGCCGAGGCCACTGGCTGCACAGTGGCGATCGACGTCCCCACGCCCATTGTGAAGCACATTGTTCCCAACGAAACACTTGCCCGAGTTTTTCAGAAGCACGGAGAGAGCCTAGGTGACTACCCTATACATTTTACGGAAACCTCCATTTCTGGCGTGGTTGTGCAGGTGGTCGACGGGTGTAGTTCCTGTAGGGTCATCGTTTCTAAAAAGTTCTATATTAAATTTAGGGGACGAAGATTTCGTCTAAACTTAGCGAAAATATTTTCCCGCTAAGTTTAATGAAGAAATTTCTCCGCTAAACTTCACTGTGCCACGAGATGTCACGTAACATCATGATGTCACGTTACGTCATACCATTACGTCATGTGACACTGTTAGGTTGCATAACGTCATGGGTAGAGTGCAGCATGATTGTGCGTAGTCTGCGTGTATACGCCTCGGCTGCCACCGCAGTTTAATCATTTGCGGGGCACAGGAAGGGACAGCGAATTTCAACATGGAATGTGCTTATGGGCTTAACGTAATGGGCAATGCTTTACACTCGAGAGTAATAACAAAAATGGACAGGTAAAGGTAATATAGAGCATACAAAGCCTGCATTAGGCAGTTAACAAGCATTTAAATCATATAGGAGTCATACTTAGTCATAATTAATCATACATACGTAATCATAATTTACGCACAACTAATCGTAACAACGAGTGTCGCAAAGCGTGGCCAAAAGGTAAATCGAACCCCGGATCATACTATCCCCAGCCCGACGCTTTTGCTGGTAACCATAAAAAAGGGATGGAAGAAAGCGCAGGAAGCTGGAATGAGTATAACTCATTTGTACGCTTTGTTATTCGGGAGCACAGCGTGCTCTCTCGTCGGAGAGCGCAGCTGCCTCCCGAATAACGAAGTGTAGCTCAAAAAGTGATTTCACTAAGTCGCGGGTTGTATGTTATACCTCACTAATGAATAGTGCAGCTGGCGCGTGACGTCACGACCTCGCACACAGCAGTCGAGAGGTAGCGTAGCGTGTGCGATGAACTGTCTCGCCTCGCGATCACTCGAGTTAACACAGGAGGCTGCTCGCCGTCTAAGAGCACGAACAGCTCAAGGCGCTAAGCGCACCTCCGCAAAAAGCAGAACCCATGCAAACTTCTCATTAAAACATAATCCTTGCAAACTGCACTCCTGATTAATGTTCACCTTGTCTTGATTATTCGGACAAACTCGGGGAGCATAAAAGTGAGGCATGTGGGAAGGGCATAATAAAAAAATAAAAAGAATAAAGCATCTAAACGTCCCCGCAACCAATTATAATAATCATAACGCACGTATGAGTAACGTATGACATTTTTGTGTTGACCAGGTCTATCAGAGTGATTCGGAGAAGTTTAATTTGTTTTAATAAATATATAAGCGAGTACTGAAGCAACGTAAGACGATACTTCATATTTCAGGGCCAACGGCGAGTAGAACGTGCAGTGTTCCGGCTAGAAATCTTGGCCATTTTTCAAAGTTTTGGTAATATCGTCACAGCACTGGTAACAAACCGTGTTCATGTTATTTAGTTTGTGGGATTTAAACAATATAAATTGGTATCCATCCAAATAACAGGACCGGACGAGAATCCGGATGCCAAAGATAATTACTACAACATGTTATCGACCAAGAAAGCGGTTGCAGCATTAGGGCAATGGGCTGATTGCAAATATCGCATACAGTAGCGTTATGCCGAACATTGTCCTGTCCTTACATCGCTACTTGAACTGGAGTTGCCCAAATAGACTGTCGCGGAGCCACCGGTTTGCACTCGCGCTAAGATTCACCAGGTGAGCGCAGTTCTCCCTAGGCCTTTTACAAAAGTGATACTGAATGTCATATGCAATGACGCCCCCGATAACAGATTTGCTTTAATAAGTTCCTACCTCTCAGCCTGATGTCCCACCCTAACCTTGTGTGTTACTGCGAAGCCAGTGTCAGTCTACCGAGTTAAAATGGGCGTCACGAAAATTTATCAACCATCTCGGCAAGCGATAATCTGTCGTCGCCACGCATTTTCAGCCATGTTACACAAACGCGGAGGTTCAATCACCGTTAGTACTTCCAAGCATGCCAGTTTCATTGCCGATTACAACAGCTACAGTTAATTCCTGTGCGGTACTCAGTATTCTCCTCGTGGGGCATCGCGTAGCCGATTGGCGAATACCTATGTTGTCGTTCCCCAGTGTGCCTGATGCTATAGGTGACGGCTTCGTCCTACAGGAATGCGTTTCATCGACGCCGACCCGGCTGACAACATTGCAGTGGGAGCGTCTACGGACGCCGGAAATGCGTCCCACGTCGTTCCTTTCATCCACCCGTTGTACGACATCGGGACAAAGGCCCTCAACCATTCAAAGGCGTTTACCGAAGCTGCAGGAACCGAGGCCGGGCATCGGGAAACTCTGAAGGCCGCGAAAGCCCTCTGCTTCACGGTCCTGGACGTGCTCGGGAATGAAAAGCTGCTTAAAGATATCAAGGAAGAATTTCATGCTGAATTCAACAGCACAAGGGCGGAAAAGAAATAGGAGAATTTTATGTTTTCTTCAAATCATGGATGATTTTATAGTTGGGATTTATTATTTTAGGATTAGGTTTTGTTTTTGTAAAAATATTTGGAGTGCGTCTGCACACGCTGATTGTTAAACTTCCGATTCTCTGAAGTCTTTTTTTTTTCTTTTAATCAAAGTTTAATCTTGTTATATTCGTATTTGTAAACTTATGCTATAAAATAGATAACGCTCACATAGGAACGCATAAAAAGTTCACAATTCGTTGAAACGTAAAGAATACTTTTTTAGAAACCTGTGGGATATTGGCTGTCACTATTACAGGCACATTGCCTCCATCACCTCGTGAAAGCAAAAGTAACATAGTCTATAAAGTCAAAACGGGCAGAATGGATAGCACAATGTTGTGATTGGATTGATTTGTCATGCAGCGCTCTGCCCAGAATAGTCGTGGTTTTGTTTTGTGATCGTTTTCTGCTAACGAAATGCTTTCGGGCAAGTACAAAATAATAAAAGCAATACATGTGAATGTCTGCCACATTTTCCGTTTTAATAAACGAAACGGTCCACCCATATATAGCACAAGGTAAGGGGATGTGCAAAGAGTTTAAGAAAGTACCACAGGTGAGACTGCGCCCACATCCAGGGAATGCCGAATGCAAGTAATCAAGAAATCGGTAAACTATTGTAGAAGAGTCCTAAGTCCCAAGGTGTAGCCACCGCACTTCTGCAAACATGAGTGTCACCAGAAAAATGGTGGCTGCATTTGTTGGTAAGTATTTAGCAAAAAAGACACGCAAACATTCGGACCACTATTTGCTAAAGATAAGCAAACGTGAACTATTTCGAACAAAGCTTATTTGGCATTGCTTTGTGAGAATTTTAGTTGATATACGCAGATAAACTGCCGAAAAACAACGCAAGAATATACTTACCTTATAACTAACCTCTTAAAAAGTTGAATAAAAATCCTAGGCAACAAATTCTGTGCCACTGATATTTTGGACTTTTTTTTATATATACAATGCAATGAAGCATTCGCAAAAAAAAAAATAACTGCAAGATTCATAGCTTACACCAAGAGGTGTGAGCTATGAATTTCATAATTGTATCCCATAATTCTAAAAAAGGTAATGATAATCAGAAATAAAAATAAAAATTAAATGTTATCATGAAGGGGGAGTGAAATTTAACAAATGCTAACAAGTAAAGCAAAATAAAATCCTTCCAGTTCCACTAAAGACAACAGAGCAGATTATTCAGAGATAGGATAGATAAAGTATAGGGAAATCGAAATGTTATAACTAAGGCTCCGTGTTTTCGGATAAATTCGCAAAACCCCGAAAAACACCCGCCGGTAAACTTTTTGTCAATTCGGATGTATCCGATAAACTCCAAATTGTTATGTCACCATGCCACCCCCCCCCCCCCCTCCCACAGCTAAAAAAAAGAAAACGTAATTTTTTTTAATTTTTCTTACAAGGGTTAATGATCTTGGGAAAATGACACCATAATGATCTTTCAAGCCTCGAACCGTTGTTAAAAGGGGGTCTTACGGCTTGTCTCGTCAAGGTTGGTTCAGGGAAACAGGTCATCGTACCATATTCGTGTCATGACAAAAGCAAATCTTTTGGTTTCCAGTTTGGGCTATGGGGTTTGGGATTTAGAGAAAGGAGAGAAATGTTTCTGGGGGATAACAGTAAAAGCTATGTACTATAGAGATTGTATAAAATAGGAAAGAGGGGCAGCTGAACCTTATCTATTATATCCTTAACCACTCCGCCTCGCGCGGCCGCGGGATAGATTGAGGGGATGGCTACAAGCTTCCTTGCGGCTACCTCAGGCAGTTTATTGATTTTAAGGTATCGACGTTTATCAAAGCCACACTTGTGTGCAACTTTTGTCGTAGGACAAATTACGATTGCCAATGACACAAACGCCAAATTCAACTGAAGAAATCTTAATTGATACAAGCGGGTTTCATTTTCTTATCTGGCATACGTTTGCAATCGGTTATTATTTTTTTTTAATATGCGAAAAGTCTCCGAATTTCGGAGAATTGTGGATTTACGAAAAATAAACTCCGATAAACACCGAATTTTGCTAAAAAATGAACTCCAAAAAACAACCACATCTTGAAACATGACACTCTTCCCGTGCTACACAGGATCCTACTGCACGTGCACTAAAGAGGATCCTATATTTGGGTTTTTGGAACTCGAGGTTAACTTACATGCTTTACCGATTCTATTAAGCTACTGCATTCTCTGAAAGCATTTGCTGTATTGGTATAGAAAGCACATAGATTTCTATTCATTCTTTTTTTTCAGTGTTGCATTCAGAAGGAGACGACGGGAGAACTAAAAATGAAGCGACTAGTCTCCGTTAAAAACTATCAATAGCCACAGTAAATGACAGCCTAAGAAGGAGAGTGTTTCTTTAGCAGTCGACAACTATGACTTATAAGTAGGGTTTCGTGTTTTCGGAGAAATCCGATAAACTCCGATAAACGCTTGATGGCAAAAAAAAAAAAAAAGCAAAGAAAAGTCGGCATACTAGATAACAGAAAGTATAAAACAGAGAGAGGACGAAACACAGACGAGTACATTCTTTCAACTCACGTGGCCGCCTGAGGGAGCACTTCCGAGAGGTCGCCGATCCCAGCGAGGAAACGGTGCACCCGATTGCAGCACATCGTCGCACATGCGGAGGATGTAAGCCAAGGTTCAAAAAAACGCGCGTGCTAGGTCGCCATCCTCAGAGATTCGGCAGGGAAGTTATCGAATCTTTTGCGATAAAAAACTCCGTCGTCAATGTCTCTTCCCCCTCGCTAGCCCTCTCCGATAGAGAGATAGATTATCTGAGCCAAGAGCTGTCCGGGGTGATTAGACGACCTCGGTGAGCGGCCCGACCCCAACGAGTCCACGCACCCAGCCGCCTCTCCCACCCCCCTTCCTTCCTCTTACTTCCCCCTCTGCCTCTGCCCTATCCCCCTTTCCCTAAGTCTGCGCAGGGGAACATACGTTCGCACCCCATGGAATAAACTTTGTTGAGAGTTGAAAGAATGTACTCGTCTGTGTTTCGTCCTCTCTCTGTTTTATACTTTCTGTTATCCAGTACATCATACCAACACGCTCGTTAGGAATATAAAAGTCGGCATTTCACGAATAAATCTTGTCAGAGCACAGGGTTCATGTTCCCTAGAAAAAAAAAACACTAAAATTTCTGTTTTTGTTGTGGAATATTGTCAACTACAGTTTCCCGTCTTTGTCGTCAAGGTTCGTTTAGTACAATGGGCCAACACACTTCTAGGCCACTACAAAAGTCACTGTTCCGGTTTGTAGTTTGAACCATAACGTTGAAAGGGAGGAGGAGTTATATTTTCATTAAAGTGAAAGATGTAAACCTGCAGATATCACAGAACATTAAGAGCAGCAGCTGAAAGTTTTTTGCTTTAGAGAGCTCGGCTATTTCAAAGTACCGACGTTTTTTTGAAGCAACACTGTTCTCAAGATTTGTCGTGTGGCAATTAGTGGTGCCAACCACAAGGGCGCCATTGCCAAATGTAGCGGCAGAAATTCGGTACCGATGATTTTTTCGTGAATTCAGTGTATGCTTTTGTAAGGCATTATTTTATTTTATATAAAAAAACTAAGTGCATAGTGAAGTTAAACTTTGAGTTTCGGAAAAATCGGGGATCTAACGAAATAAACTCCGATAGACGCCGAATTTTAAGCAAACAATAAACTCCGAAAAACACCCCCCGATGTCAAACCGACTTGCCCAACTTTATGCTTTGTCGCACTTAATTTCGTGATGTCAAACCAACTCGCCCGACTTTATGCGGTGTAAAATCCCCCCCCCCCCCCCCCCCCCCCCCCGAATTTAACGAAACTCAAACACCGAAAAGTTAGAGGTGTGTGCTAATAGCAAACATTTCAAAACTCGAATCGAGTTCGAATATAACAGTGTCCAATACTAGCCAAACGTTTGAATGTGGGATTAAATGAATTAAATTGAATTGAATAAAATCAAAAACAAGTATTCTAGCGGTGTTTCGGTGACGACAACGTCAAAATGCGAGAACATTGCTTGTCTTCTAAGAAAGGCTTTATGCACAGGGCAAGTCGTCTGCTTCTTGTGCAGGAATTACGGTGATGTCAGACTGGTGCCGAGCTTTGATTGGCTATCGAAAGGAACGTGGGTACAATTCAATGCAACATACCTTGAGGTGTACCCACCATCTTTTAGAGCGCAGCTCTTAGGCGCCCGTTTCCGGCTTAAGCGGCGTCGGCGTCGGCGTATCCGCAAGGTCACGTGACCCCCCCTCAAGATCACGTGACCCCCGGTCACGTGACCTCCCTCCGAGATCACGTGACCCCCAGGTCACGTGGCCGCCAAGGTCACGTGACACTCGCCTCCCCCCTCCGCGCCTTCCCCTCCTCCTCAAGAGCTGCGCTTTAATTTGGCGTTACAGGGAGTTGTAAACGGCTTTCATTTTTTCAATCAGCCCATAAGAGTTCGGCATTCTGACATCCTCGCAACCCCTATGCAAACAAGAAGCAGACGAACTTGCGCTCCGCATTCCGCTGATTAAATTACACCATACTTCCGTACATTTGCATTCGCTAAAGACGGTCAACTGAGCACGTCACCACTTCTGTTAAGCTGTCTACTCTCTAGTCCGATAATTCATCTTGCAATGGACCCTTTTCGAAATTTTTAAATGATGCATACATTATCCGCAGCCGCCAATTAGTTGGACTCATCGCTTCCGGCGTGAAGCCCGTGATTGGTTCGGAGTTCGCGCCGAGCACTGTTCCGACACTCGTGTGGAATGCGTTTTGATTCGAGCACACTCCGAATGCTGACGAAGTGTTCAAGTCTAATGCGTGCTCACAGTGCATGACCAACTAATGGCGGCGGCACAATATCTATGCCTCATTTCAAAATTTCGAAAACATTCTGTCAGCACTCATTGAGGCATATCCAGTGAGCTCCTTGCCTTCCGACGCGCATGCGCGCAATGAAGAGGGGAGAATGGCACATTATAATTATCGCTTCGGAAGTGTCCCCTTTGGACAATTTAAATTGAGCTAAATCGCGTTAATTGTGCCGCAACAAAAAAAAAAGATTTCTCCCCCTAGACACACTGGTTGAGCACCGTGAGCAAGATCTGAGGGTCCCAGGGCTCATTCATACTTGAGGAAAGTTAACATTTTTGCTCTTTCTCAACAATGTATCCACTTTTCGCTCTCTTGCGCATGAGTGTGCGTACCGTGTTATGGATAAACAAGTTTCAGGAGAAGACTAAGAAAAGAAAGGCTATCTCATTTTAAAACACCGCAGAGATGAAAAAAAAAATTCGAATTGCGAAGTTATGATATTGCATACGTGAAACGATCTAGCATCCCAAACGTTAAGCGATACTCTGAATTTCCAGACGCCAGACGCCTACGTTTCCGACGCTCTTCATTAAATAGTTCAAGGCGTACCATATGCACACTTAAAAGTTGTTCCCAGATTAAA